ATTCGTCATCAGGAGCTCGAGTTGTACCAGTTCTATTACTCTCGAATAATTGAGATGAAGTCGATGTAAACTCGGTACACTTTCAAAAGCACAACCTCTTTTCCTTAGTGACAGAGTTGAACTTCTTGGGTCATATTACGGGACCTATTGCAAGAACTCAGATAATGCATAAAATCTAAGATATCTCCTTCTGTATAAATGAAGTTAAACGCAGTGTCTAAGATCTCAAAATAAAAATGCACAGAAGTGAAATAGCTCTTCAGAAATGTGGGTATCCTCGGTGTAAGATTACATTGCCATTAGTGACTTTCAGGGTGTAGCAAAGATCAGTTCGGTTCTGTTTGACGCAAAGAGGATTGAAGCGCAGCCATTCTGCCTCATTCACAGGATGCTAGAATGGTTCTAGCAATGAACTGACCCTAGCGATAACATCCACTGGTATACACTCTCTGAAACTTCAAGCGTGAATGCTTCACATATGGCAAACGTAACCTCATTTATCAAACTCACAAGTGAATGAACTAAAAGGCATCAGTCTTTCTCACTTTTCATTTAAGATCATTTTCAATCATATGATCGAATCAATTGATAAATACAGCGAAGTGGGACGTATTTACCTGAGCAAGAAATGTTTCTGAAAAGTATACTCCACACCTTATCGGAAATCAGATAGTTCAACATTATGGCTACGAACTATGAGGTATTTATGGTCGAAATTGCTGTGTACTTTCTCTGACTTCGTGTTAACGTTGACTTTTCCTTTTCAGATAAGATTATGGTGTGATGGAAGCATCATCTGGTTGACGAATACATTAAAAATTGATTTCACCATGTTCTCGAAGAAAAGTTCGAGTAAAACGTGGTGGAACCAAACGTAACGAGCAAAAAGTCTTCTACAGAGCTAGAGATCGATTAGGCATGAGTTTCTTCGGGTATGCGCTTGAGAAAACAACGCCACTAGGGTGCAGTTCGAAGCAGTTTCCCTCTTTAAAAACGGCACGCTTACGGCTCGTTAAGTAGACTAACGGTAGCCTTAACGGGGATGTTAACTTGGCCGTTTTGAACGGCTTGGATGGAGACTATACTGATTTGTGCGAAAAATCTATTTTTTTCCATAAAAATATGTTTTGCTATCAGTTTTCTTTAATATTGTGCAGTATAAATTACTTAAATGTATTTGACACACATGTCAAACACTTAACATTATTACATTTATTCAATTGCAGTATACGATGAAAATAACGCTTTTTTAAAGGACTATTTTTCCTATTGACATTATCTCTAACTTCTTGATTTAATATGTTATCATTTTTCAACAAATTTTTCGTGTCATTTTGAAAAAGGATTTAACGTATCCTATTCTCATATAAATAAAACTTCTTTTATAAAGTGAAGATGCGGCTACCTAAAATTTTATTCTCTTATCTTTATAGATGTTACTCGTAAAAGAAAATGATTTTGAATGTATGCCAAATGACGCATATTTCTCTTCTTTGTCTTAAAAGTATTAACAATATCTGGATTTATTTGAACAAGGCGTCCTTTTCATAAAATATACACATAAAAATAAATAATCCGCTACTGTTGCACGATTGTTTTAATACCGATAATACTCGAAAATGCAGAAGGTGAGAATAGTTAAAAATACTGGTGCCAGTATAGTTAGGAAAAGTTATAACTGGTGGGAAGATCATGAAAGAATCAAAATGAAAATGTTAACATATTGGCGGCGATGTAGGTCACTGGTGACTTACACTACTCTTCAAAAATATCCTCCACGTGTAAATCAAGAACCATGATAGCTAAGGACTTCTAATTTTCTGTAGATATAGCACTCACTGAATGCTGATCACCCAGCAAGTTTAAGCCTCTTTTACTGGATGGTTCATGATATATAAGTATTTCATTTTTTTTCGTAAAATGCTATTAACTCTTGATTCACGCGAGATGAAAAGTTTTCCTTTTTACTACAGTGTAGCCTATGAACACTGTACTGGACACTGTGCCTTCTACACTATGAATTTTCTGTGCTGGCTCCTAATGGTTACTGAAAGACAGTTCTTCCACAATCGAGAATCACTTTTGAAATATGAGGTTCTTTCTCAAAAAAAATTCATAACTCAGCCTAGGAACATCATTTTGAAACATATTTGGGGACACAAACCTGAGGAACTAAGGATCGATGCATACGTATGCATTAGGAATATTACACGGTACTCTAGAACATTGAATTTCGAGGCGGAAAGCTAACGAAATCCCTCCCCAACTATTCTCACGAAAAAGGGACAAAAATACATGTATGTATGTATGTAGCGATTATAAGTAAAAATTTCAGAACGTTTTGGCTATCGTGTGGTGAAAACCGGTGGCCGCTATCCCTTTCCATTCTCGAGTTATTCAAAAAATGGCAGAGTTTGCTACATTTCGTGTTCCAAACTCAAGTTTGAGAAGCACTTCTTTTGTGATGAAAAATTGAAAATTAGCTAAAAAATGTGTTTTTTCCGGTTTTTCACTATGAAGACGTTTTCCAAAATGGAGACTAGAAGATGAAATGTAGCAATTGAATTTTCTCTGATAAGTTCAGCTTTGTATACCAAGTATACCGTGACCCACCGGTGGGTCACATCGCTGCCAATGAGTTAAAAACAAAAATCGTCAGTTTTTGTTAGAGATATAAATTTAATGAAAAAATTGCTTTCTCCGACTGCGTTCAGAGCTGGAACCGGTACCGGACTGGTTGAAAAAGTCAACCGAACCGATAGAGATCGGTATTTCACCGAAACATCTGCTCTTTTTACCCTATTTTTCGTCAAAAAACTAAAATTTTACGTCGTTTTCAGTCAGAATAAATAAGACGATGCCCAAGACAGATATTATTTTCATCACTGTTTTAGGGTTAAGTGCTATAGACTCGTTACTGTGAAGGTTGTCTCACATGTGCTCACAAACTATTTCATTTCTGGAGGAAATTCTTTCTGAAAATCAATTTTCAAGAAACTTCACCAGTTTTTCGCCGGTTTCAAGCAGAATTCCAACGGTCAGTTAACTTGCCGTTTCTCAACAGGTTTCAGCTCTGACTGCGTTTCAAATGCTATCTGTTACTTATTAATTAGCATTAATATGGATAACAAAATTATATTTTCTATTGATAGGGTGCTATTGCTATTCTTCTTGCTTCAACTATTCTGGCATTTGGTATCGGTATAATCATTGGACATTTTGCAATCAAAAAGACAGAAACAAATAAAAAATGGGACTATGATTATTTAACACGAGATGCTGATCCAAGAAATTACAAAACGTTTATGGACGATATTAACGCAGAAAATATTAGAGACAACTTGCGGTCGATATAATCAACATGCCTATTTATCTTCAACTTGTATCTTTTTTTCTGCACTTTAGTGAACTTACGTCGGTACCCCATATGGCTGGTACACCAGACGATTTAAGAAGTGCGAATGTTATATTCGATCGCTGGAAGAACGATGGACTAACAGTATTTAAACCATCCTATAATGTTCTTTTGTCATATCCAAATAATGAGACAGTTAATAGGTATACAGTAGAGCGTATAATAAACTAAATCAAACTGTTTTGCTTATTAGAGTAATAGTTCGAAATGGTGCAACTATTCTTGTAGAAACAGAAGGCAAAGAAAAGATTTATGATCCACAGCTACCCCCAACTGTCAACCCATTTCTAGCTTACACACCAAACGGAACTTTTACCAGTGTATGTATCCAAAATTTATCGTGCAACGACAGTTAAAAATAAAATTTAATTTTAGTCGAACTTGTACTATGCGAATTATGGACGTTTGGAAGATTTTGAAAATTTGATAGCCAAAGTCTCACTAACAGCATTACAGAATAGCACAGTCATTTGTCGTTATGGAAAAATTTTTCGTGGAGACAAAGTAATACAGATTAAGTATACGTAGAAAGAAATGTTAATCGGAATATTTGTGTGCTAAGGTAATGCATGCACAGCAATTTGGTGCAAAAGCAGCTATATTATATAATGATCCACAAGATTACGCTCCTTTTGGTACGACACAAGATGTAACTTATAATAATACATGGTTTTTGCCCGATAGTGGTGCTCAGCGAGGTTCTTCTTATACATCGAATGGTGATCCGTTAACGCCAATTTATCCATCAAAAGGTTTTGATGTTTTTTTTCTTCTTTTGATTATCTGTTTGTACATTCTACGTTATTCTTATTTTAAGATTATATGTTTCATCTGAACGAAGATATCGATACTCTACCCAAAATACCTGCACAACCCATCAGTTATACAGAGGCTAGAGATATAATGCAGTAAGAGATCAGTTATTGTCAGATTCGTTCTAAAATATCGGTTTCAATCTTTTCTCAATCAAGAGAAATTATTCTCACTCTCTTTATGGGAAGAATAATTTGAAATAATTAGTTTTTTGTTCAAAGGAATTCAATATACGCTCGCTATTGATTCTAGTTGATTTTGTTCATATTTTTCTTTCCTTAAGATATATGACTGGAGAAGATGTACCTGATGAGTGGAAAGGTGCGATGACTGTACCTTATAAATATGGTGGACCGTTAAATAATTCAAAGTATACAACATATCTGACTTGAGATTGAAAACTTTACTCTTGAACTCTCTACTTTTTAGTACGATCACAGTTACTTCATATAACAAACGTGAACCAAGAGACACGTATAATGTAATTGGGATAATGGAAGGCGAGATAGAACCAGGTATGTGTTGGGTCACATACCGTTCATCGAGGCGTATGCTTTCGATAGATGAAGCGGAAAAAAAAGCTTGTTTGAAATGAAGAAAGAAAATTCATATTGACAAATCTCTTTATTTTAGATCGATATGTCGTTATCGGAAATCATCGGTAACAAATCTTTTTATCCGATTTCATCAAATGTCTGTAGAAATAGATGTCTCTATCACTTCTTATATTTGTGAGATATACACATCAAAAGTGATTTATCATTATTTTTGAGGGATGCTTGGTCATTGGGAGCAATTGATCCGACCAGCGGGACTGCAGTTCTCCTTGAGATAACACGAGTTTTGGGTAAAATGAAGAAAAACGGTAAAAACTTAAATTAAGTTATGAGAGTTAATATTTAATAAACTTGGCTTTATTTAATAGGATTCAAACCACGTCGTAGTTTAATGTTTTGCAGTTGGGGAGCAGAAGAGTACGGTTTGATCGGATCGGTAGAATGGGTTCAAGTAAGAACCATTTTGTTGCATGTTGACTGTTTATCGCATTTGGTTATGATTGGTTAGGAATACGTAAAAGTGTTGAGTGCTAGAATAGTTTCATATTTAAATTTGGATGTAGCAGTTGAAGGTAACTTCTAAATGAGATATTTTTCTTAAAAATCGTGAAGTTGATTTTGAAATTTGTTTCAGGAAATTGGACAGTGGATGTTAAAAGTTCACCATTATTATACAACGTCATAGTTGATGCAGCCAAAACAGTTCCCAGTGCGTATGACGGATCTAAAACGGTCCATGATAAATGGATGGAAGTTCATAACAATGAACCGAAGTACGAAATAAAACCTGTTTATATCGAGAGAGCATTTCATATCTATTATAATTTTACTTGACAGAATTGAGTATGGTCTTGGTTCTGGCAGTGACTTTTTAGCTTTTGATCAATTAGCTGGTTCATCAAATTTTGATACATCGTATGGGTTTGATCCTGTACGTACATTACCAGCTTTTAGTCAAATACGACTATTTCAAAGGATTTGTATAACTCAATTTTTGTTAGTTAGAAATCACATGGAAATTTGGGATCGTATCCGTTATATCACACATCATACGAAGTATTTTCAATGGTCGAAAAATTTGTCGATCCAGAGTTTAAGGTGATCATTATCATTATTATTTGTTTTCTGTTTATTCAATGGCGTATCAATATTTGTGTTAGGCTCATCAAACAATGGGTCAATTTACTGGAGCGTTAGCACTCCGTTTATCCGAATCAGCTCTAATACCATTTAGTGTTGAACATTATACTAAAGCATTAAACATTGCGTTAGCAGATTTAGAAAAAGAAAAACCATTGAATACAAATCTCAGTAAATACCTTACACACTTAAACATTGAAACTATATTGAGCTTGTCATTTTCATATAGCTAGTCTCAAAATTTCAATCGATGAATATGGAGCAGCAGCAGTCGATTTTGTTGAAAAAGCTAAAGATATCGATAAAAATAAGTAACTAATAAGAGAGAATATATAGATAATTAAGTTAAACTTATTTACATTTATTTTAGTCCATATGCAATTCGTGTATATAATGATCAATTATTACAGCTTGAAAGAGCATTTATAAATCCTCATGGACTGGCATCTGATACTCCTGATTTTAAGTAAGATATTGCCACTATGTGATTAATTATAATAAAATATACATAGCCTGTAGAAATAAAAAAAGGATTTAGTAAATTTATACGATGCAGAAACCCTTTAGCATTTAACTATGAGACGATAACATATTAGTGTCTTTAAATATGTTTTTTAAAAACTTTTTAGACATATTATTTATGCACCATCAAAAGGAAATCAATATGCTGCAAGCGGCTTTCCATCGATTACTGGCGCTTTCGCTACCGGAGACTCAGAGGAAATTAAGAAACAAATTTCAATAGCGACATATTTTATTAAAGGCGCAACATCTGTTCTCAAACAGCCATTCAATTTTATTACGGATTGATACGTCTGATAGAAAAGCTTTTATTTTCCTATTAAATATTATAGAATGCGTTAAAAAGTTAAATTTTGTATTTTTTCAAATTTATGCTATTGTCAAAAAGTTATCAAATATTTTAAGAAATTAAATTCAAAGAATAATTTTGTTTAAAAGGATGACAACTAAAATTTAACGAGTGATGCAAAAGCTTTTTTTGTCTTTTTTGTTTGCTTCATGTCTCAGTCCAGAAACATCGCACACACTCACTTCTTTTTCCATTAGAAAGAGCAGATTTTAGTTTACAAAATATATAAGAATAGTGGACACCAACCAGTTAGAAAAAGAGATATTATTTTTTAAAAAGACAAGTCGTCAATAATCCATTTGTAAAAATGAAATATTTCTCTCTTGATAGTTAATTACTATATTCATTTCAAATACGGTTTTGCAGTTCACATACAGGACAAAGAGAGAATTTAAGAAGAAAACTTTGTTATGATTTTTAAAGTTAAAAATGTCCAGTGAAAAAGTGATGGCACTGGGTGTGAAAATTATTCAACACTCTGATATCTCTTAATTAAAAGAATTTATTTCTGTGAAAGAAAACGATTTAATTGATATCCCGTACATCACTTGAAAGCTCGTCGAATATACTATCGCGATGACTGGGATTGGGATTGAGATAGGAACTATTGACTTTAAATAATGGAGTATAGGTGACTTCATTTTTTTACAGATTTAACCTTTTTAGTTTTTCAACTAAACGTCAATGATCATCCTAATTATGAAATATGTAGCACATTCTGATGTTACAAGAAAGGGCAGATTTCGACGAGTATATTGATATATAATGTATCAAGAAACCTCTAAACACAAACAAGAAACTGAAAAACAAAATATACGGTCTTCATTTTCAAACGTGGTTTTTACAAATGGGTTATTGATGGCTTGTCTTTTAGAACTTAATATCTCTTTTTCCAACTGGTTGATGTCCACTGTTCTTATATATTTTTGTAGACTAGAATCTACTCTTTCTAATGGAAAAAGAAGTAAGTGTGTTTGTATCACCCATAATACTCGTTGAAAATGAAACTCGATTTAAAATCCCATAATCTATTGCCGAACTTCCATTTTTTAAGTTTTGATAGTTCATTTATTAGCGAAGAATTCCAAAAATACTATTACCTGTTTCTGATATGAATCTTCTATCCGAAAGTTGTTGTAGCATTTCTGGTATACTATTATATAATCGTCAAAACATGACATGAGATGTGGTGAAATATTCAATGTTTCTCAAAGATAAAAATAGTTGTAAACAGAAAATGTTTTTCATGTTTTTCCTTGACATTAATTTGTTTTTTATTAAAAACATTAATCATTGCTTAAAAACTATCATACATACATTATCAAAAACTCTGTTAGTCATCGGTAGGCATGCACCAATACAATATATTGGGTTCCAATAATACAGGTCACCCAATTTATTGGGTCCCAATAATATTGGTCACCCAGTCTATTGGGACCAATAATATTGGTCACCCAATCTATTGGGACCAATAATATTGGTCAGCCAATATATTGGATTTTCACAATATTATTGAGTATTGGATCACTTGAGTTCGGCCTACTTTTACAGTACAGAAGCATGTTTTATGTCCCGTTTTGAATCAAAAAATAACCCAATTAGGCATGCACCGATTAATAATCAATATTAGGGCATTCGGCAAAGTCGTTCCAAATCAGTTATAAAAAGGCTCTTAGAGCTGCCGAACGCCTCGTTTTGTAGGAAAATGTTTTCTCTACCAAACTGAAGTGCTACAGAAATTTTAATGTTATATATAGAGAAAATACAATAAATCGAAAACGCACTATAATCATAGACAAATAATCAACAGTCGCTTTTTTCTCAATTTTGCTCAATTTTGGATACTTATATTTCTGCCGTAGATAACACTAAAATGTCTTTTTGCACTTCAGTTTGGTAGAGCAAACAGTTTTCGACAAAATGAGATATTCGGCAGCTCTACATGCTTTTTCATAACTGATTCGGAACGACTTTGCTGGATGCCCTAACAGCGATTGTTAATCGGTGCATGCCTAATCCCGATCGGGATATGCTTCCTCACGTTTTTATGAAGGTAAATGATATTAAGGTTAAAAAGTTGGAATCCAGTGTATTGTGGGATCCAATACTACCCAATATTATTGGTCCCAATAGATTGGTTGACCAATATTATTGGTCTCAATAGATTGGCTGACCAATATTATTGATCCCAATATATTGGGAATACAATAGTATTGGGTCTCAATATTATTGGATAGCCAATAATATTGTACAATATCTTCAATAATGATTGATATTGGTGCATACCTAAACCATCGACGATGAAGAGAAAAAGATAAATGAATAGTATGGCAGAAGAAAGTAAGGTACTACTGCTAAGTTTTATTGAAGAAGAATATTAATGTACTTTGGCAACTGACCCAAACCCAAGTCCAAGACTTGGGTATCCAGACCCAAACCCAATACACCCAAGTCGCCTGGGTTTGGGTTTGTAACATACCTAGTGATGTACAAGTTCAGAGATATTTTTATCAGGGTTTTCCACAGATCCGAGCTGTGGATAGTCCGACTAAAAGTGCTTTTGAACTTTGTAAATTATACCATGGGAACGAGTGCAAACAAAAGTTGTAGGCTTTCAAACTGCTTCTAAATCAAAAATTCTGATGCTTAGCCCAAATCCTACAAATCTGCCATTTCATTAAATCAAATGACTTTTTGTTTGTAAATGCATACAACTACCAAATCAAGTTATGCAGTTCGATGCGCTGAGCCTAAATATATTATTAGTTTTTAATGAAAACATTTCTAGGATGAGAAAAATGGATTTGACGTGAAAAACTAAGGTTTTTTGGAAAATCTGCCGTGTGCTTCAGAAACGTTTGCGCTAATTTGTGCTAACACAAGTCCTAGAAAAACATTCTGGCAATGTTCCAGCTAATTTAAGTGTGCGCTAAGGTGCGGTCACTTGAACACCGCGGTGCGGTCACTTTACCGAATATAGCCGTGATAGGTTACAAGATTGACCATTATTTGAATCTATGAAAAACCGACTTTCATTTTTCTAGCTAATGTCCACGTCACGTGGACAACCACGGGCGCCACTGTGCGTTTAGTTTTTGTTCGTTCACGTTTTCTTTCTTTGAGACTATTTAAGTAATATGTAATCAATTTTCGAATTTTTAGTCTCTACTACATTTAGTCTAATGGTGTATGATTATGGGCAGTGCTTTCCGTTCGGTGATTATTTTAACATGGAATTTTTTACACCTGTTTTCTTGAGTCTTTCTAATAGAGACAAACATGTTTTGTTCTTCTGTCATCAGCCGTTTCGTTTAAATCCAAACTGTGCTATGAACCCCTTGATGAAATGATCACGTAATGCCATTAGTTGTTACTACTGCACTGCTCATTTTCTAGAACTAACCTGAACAAACTATCCGAAAGGGCAATTTAACGGTAGGCCAGATACAGAACACTTTTTGTGGGGGCAGTTTACCACAGTTTTACGACTCCATTCCACGCTTATTCGATAGACAATTTTCTGCTCTACAAAACCCATTACCTTTTTTCACTACATACTATTTCATTATTTGAGTATAATAACTCTTCTGTTAGCTATTCATCACAGGTACTGTGTGTAAAACACTTCATCTTGATTTAATTAATCCGCATTGAGAAATAAAATTTTTCCTGACAGTTTGCCACTAACAACGAATGATCCTGAAATGATGGGATTATTCATGTACCTATTTTTGTCTGTATGCTGTATGGTTCCAAGACTTCGTTCTGACTTGAGAAATTATCAAGAAATTATTAATTATCTACTCTTATACTATTATATTGTTATTTTTTTTACTCTGCTGTTTTCCGTCTTAAGATTATATTTGTTTATTTACTTATTTGCTTAGCGAAGGGCATCGCAGTACAGGCGAGTGACCTTTGGTGATCTGTTACTTTCGGTGAACAAATAGTTAGCTTAATGGGATCTGAGGATTCGACCAAAATCATATTTCTTTTGTCGAATTCTTTCGACTTTTTTATTTAAAACTTGTTATTATTTGCTCTTAGTGTTCATCAAAGCCATCAAAAACACTGTGCTTCTTTGATCAAAAAATGGACAATTTTTAAATGATATCTGATTGTTCAATCCATTCGTTTATCTAGAAGGTCAATCTACTGGAAAATTCCTCAATACACGTCCTCACTAGATTATCTTAACCGAAATGACAACCACATCCTTTTTCTCATCGGCTAGCCAGTATCACCCAATAGTAAGAGAGCATTATAGTAAAGTCTTCTGTGTATGAGTGTTTAACTCATTCAGTACCAGATTTTTAACTTTTGATTTTTCTGAATTTTTCTGCATAAAAAAAGATGTACCGACATAAGGTTTAAAGATAAAATTTCACTAATATATTATTTTATGGAATGTTTAGGCTTTCAAACTTAGATCCCCATAAATTTTCTTAGACAATTTTCAGTCATTTTTAAGTCGTGCCGATTATTTTACGAGGCTAATTTTATGCTTTCTTCAACAATATGCTGCATAATAAAAACATTTACATACTTTAAAATAATAGAATCATTTATTTAATATTCCCAAATGGGGATCAGGTGCGACCAATTCAAAACTTCCACGCCATTTTATTTCTAGCTTAATTATACATGGTTAGATTCCTCTCACCGAGCTGGATCTGAATATTTGTCTTTTAGGTTTTGGAAACACTTTTAAAGCGAAAAATTTGCGAAAACCTGGAAGTTTGACGGTGGTCTAAAAACCGGTTTTTGTACAGTAAAATTGATTTTTCAAAGTACCATGACGTTTCAAAACTCCATAACTCTTGTTTTCGAGTTTTAAGTGAAAAACTGTATAAGAAATAGCTCGTGCTTGCGCATAATAGTACGCATCGCTTTCTTTTTTCGATTCGTTCTGTGCTGAGACAATTCATTTTTTCTAAATCAGAGGCGGAAAAGTCGGATTTCGGCCGTAATACTCAATTTTCTCGATCCGAACTCAGCTTTTGAGCAATAAAAATATAGTATTCGAAATTAGAATGGCCATTCGCAAACTGTACGAGAATCAAAATGGAAAAAATTCGTGACGGAATTTCACTCCGGTAGCAGAGTTAACTGGCAAAGCCGTCATTAATGGGCTTACACGGAAAGGTCTTCAGATGCCCAACCAATCCCATTTTTAATGATATTATGCCAGTTAATAGAGGAAACTAAGCCGATAAAAACCCTAAAGGATTTGGGTCCAATTAGGAATGAGAGAGGAAGAAGTTATTACCAAGAAAATCTTGCAACAAAAAAGTAAGAATAATCATCTAAACCAAGGTCAAGTACCGAATAAAACTATATTTTTTGTCTTGTTATTTCACGGTCAGGAATCTACCGTTTTCGCTGAACGTATTAGAAGATCTGTAGAAAACCTTTTTGCCACACATCACAGTTAATGTATCATTCCGATTCAAAACGTTCACATTAAAAAGTATTTTCTTGCCAATTCAAAAAGGATATGATGAAATACGGCAAAATAAAAAACTTGTGTACAGAATTCCATGTAACGATTGTGAAAAAGTTACTGTGGAGAAACTGGTCGAGAAAAACAAATTCGCATGAAAAGAGCAGCAATCTGATATTTAGAACAAGGCATCAAACTAAGGTGTAGCTCAGCATGTCATTTATGAAAAGCATGCATTGGAGTTTAAGAATTCTGAAACATTATGTCTTGAAGCTGATTGGAGAAGACGACTCATAAAAGATTTACAACTGAAAGTTATTAAACGAAGTGAAATACAAACTACGAGTGTTCTAAATAATTCTGTACAGTCAGCTTCAATACAGACTACGTTATTTTCTATACAGCTTATTCAAGGAGATGTTTTTCCGAAAGCATATAATGTTCTTCGAACATATGTCAAAGACATGTTTTTCCTACTGTTGTTTTTTGCAATAATTAGAGTAGTGCATTCTTCTTGTCATTTTGTTTTCTGACGATGATGACAGTAGGTCATCGAAAGCTCGAATAAAATCAAAGTGAATTTAGAAAAATTCTGATATGTATTTCATAGCAGTCATATACTCAATTATTTATTTTTTATTAAGAACTACTTTACCAAAATCGTTCTTATTGTCTACTCGCTCTAAGTATGGCGATGTTTTATCCTTAACACTTTGTCAAATTGAAAAACACGTTATAAAGCTGCAAAAATGTGAGTGTGATGTAGAATTTTTAAGAATTTGTCTTATCTATAATCTTACTCCAACTTTTGTCAAAATTAACTTGTAAATGTTGTCACAATCAGAACACGGGAATTTTAGTGTGGAGTACTTTTTAACTTTATAAAAGCAAAATATGTAGAAATATTCTTTCATCACGAAGAACAGGTCCTATATATGACAGGTCATTCAGTTTTCTCTATGATATGAAGGTGAAAATGAACGTCAAGCCCATTTCAAGGACTCATATAAACGCACGATTAATTGCCGATTTTTATGCAAGTTTTAGTACATGGGATTAGAATAAAAATTTGTTTTTGAGAAAACTATTTGATAAAAAATATTTTTGTGGTCACTATAATAAACACAAATCATTTTACTAGATTCTGGAGAAATTCTCTTTAACTTATGTCTATCTACGTTGTGCAAATATTTCTTTGAGTGCTCTTAGTGACTGCTAGTATCTCGTGTGATCGGATTCAAAAGAGACGACTGACTGAGGTACATGTACGATGGTCCATATCTAAGTAAAGTACACACCGTGAAAATCTGAACATCTCAGTCCAACTGATTGAATCATGTTGCATTCAAAAGATCTTGTTAAATAGATTAACGTTAGATTTCATTTTATATTTATATATTTTCCTGGGCGTATGTCAAGGGGGAAAAAGCGGACTCCTGAAGTCCAGGAGTCCATAGGAGTCCACAGGAGTCCGCTTTTTCCCCCTTGGAGTATGTGCTGTGTGACTTAGCTTTCTGTGAATGCCCTTTGATATTATTCTACGTGCTGCATGCGTTAGTCGTGTCTCTCTTACTTACTGTTTATACTAGAAAGTTTCGATTGTGGAAGAGTCAAAATGGATTTATTCTTTCTTTTTGCTGTTCTATATTTATTTGCTGGAAATTATTTTCCATCTTCTTACAAATAAAGCTTATATAAAAAACCAACTGTTCGGTGCTAATTCTTTAGTCAAACTACAGGGTGATCCAAAAAAAACTTACCCCTTGTGTATTTATTGACTTTCTTGTGTACATATATTATTGAACTTTTTACCATTAGTTTATTCGAATAGAGCAAAGATTGCTGGACGAAATGAGACGTCTCCGAGCTCTCGAAGAGCTTTTCTCATGAAACAGTATTCAATTTACGGAAGGTCCCATATCATCAAAATCGGGACAATTAATGGGCAAACAAGAAAAATATGCTCTTAGGACCTTCCGTAAATTTAATGCTGTTTCATAAAAAAAGTTTTTAGAGAGCTCGAAGACGTCTCATTTTGTCCAGAAATCTTTGCTCTATTTGAATAAATTAATGATAAAAAGTTCAATTATATTTGTACACAAGAAAATCAATAAATACACAGGGGGTAAGGTTTTTTTGGATCACCCTGTAGATTAGACAATAATATAGTATTAGTCTAAACGAGATTTTCCATGAAAATTTTACTGCAGTTGCAGACTGTCACAAAGTTTTGGGCAGTTGCGTCGTAATAAAGATACTTACATAGTCTTTTAATGGATCCAAATGTAAAAAACCGCATAAGACATTTTTTTGTTCTCTTTTGAGATCTACGATTGATTCTGACATAATTAAAAGAAACATACATAGTGTACATCAGTTAAAATAATCTGCTCACCCAAAACAAATTACACTATACATATATTAGTAACAATACCACCCAGTAGTTATACAATCTTTCGTACTAAGCATCATGACGTTCTCTCCATCCAGTCGTGTTTCGACAAATCGTCGATGTGACAATTGTGGTGTTAGTATAAACCAAACTAGCTGGTTTCAATGCGCTATATGTAAAGAATTTGACCTATGTTATTTATGTAAAGAACAGAAAATACCATTACTTGCCGATTCTAATGACAAACATAAGAGATTTCATGAATCACAAAAGATGGAATACAATGGAAATGAACATATGAAATTGGTATTCTACCAGCCCGCATTAACACCAGATATATCAAAAGCAAAACAACAACGGCTCAATCGTATGATGGAAGCTAAAAAAATAAAGAATGATTATGAAATGTTTATTGTTACTAATAAATTGAGAGAAATGCAAGTAGAGGAAAAAAATGCATCGCCCGAAGAACAACAACATGAAATAGAGGAAGTGAAACGACAATTAAGCCAAATGATTGTAGATTACCACTTACAGTCATCTACAAAAAATATACACATATTAAGTTTAGATGGTGGCGGTAAGGAATCAAAAGCAGTTTTTAGCCATGTAGAATGATACAGTTTTTTGTTTTTATTTTTAGGTGTACGTGGTTACATGCCCATTAAAATTCTTCGTCATGCAATCGAAACTAAATTCCGAGAAAAACTTGACCGCAACGAAATAGTATTTTTGCAAGCGCAAGAAATGTTTAGCAGTCAATTTGATTATTTTGTTGGTACTAGCACAGGTGGATTTATCGCATTTTGTCTCGCTGTTAATTATACCCTATTAGATTTGGAACATATATATTCACGTTTTGGTGATTATTTCGTAAAAACTTGGACTGGTCCGATGTTGTGTGCTAAGTATGATCCTAAATATATACACAATGAAATTGATAACATTATCAATAAAACTGAATTAAATGGTAAGAAATTATCAGCTGCTACTTCTACTTTATATGATTTACATAACTTATTGAATCCTAAGTGTGGTGCTAACGAACATGAATTAGCAATGCATGGAAATTTATTGGAATTTGATGATGATGATAACGATTCAAATAAAGTGTCTAATTTCAAAGCACGCGAAAAAATGTTAATTATTACGTCTTACAATGCAACAACAAATAGTATGACTGCATTTAATACAAGTTACGCTCCTCATTGGTCATATCGTATAGCAGATGTGTTAAAGGCTACAATGGCTGCACCTACATACTTTCCACCACATCCGGTACACAAATGGAATAAAACGGAAAATGGAGAATTTCATAAAGATAAAAATCCTGAAATATTTATTGATGGTGGTGTATTTGCTAATGATCCAGAATTAACAGCATTATGGGCAATAAGAATGCAATGGAAAAAGATGATCAATTATTATTTACTTGCCATAGGTACAGGTTACTATAGTGAACCAATATCACCATCAAATCGTGGTGGATATATAGGATGGATATTTAACAATGGATTGTTGATTAATACATTAATGGAAGCTACACGAAGTTTGACTGAAACAATTACAAATAATTTGGCTAAGTTTGGAAATGTAAGAAGAATGAAATTTAATTTTGAAATAACAAAATATATGAATTTAGATGATCCACTTTTTATTACTACATTTGATCAAGAATGGGACGAACTTTTAAAAAATGGAACAATGGTAGATGGTCAAGTATTAAGAGATGATGATGGTAAATTAGTAACAGATTTTGATGCATTAATGCGATTTTACGACCATTATATTTATCACGAAAAACAAAATTAATTTGTCAAACGAATAAGAATTATTTTCATGTATACATATAATCCCTTCTTTCTGCTTGCTTTCTATCTTTCACATCATGTGTCCATAATAGTGACTGTCGTTTACTGTGATTTTTTTTTCTTCTAATAATCCATTACAGCGATGTACTATCCTTGTTAGCGTCTTGCGAAAGTAATTGGAATAAAAATTGTCTAAAAACCCTCAGAAACCTCTGACCAAGGTCAAACTAGCATGGATTCTGCAAATAGAAAAAAATACTTTCGTTGCTGTTATACTGCTGATCAGGGACATGAAATAAAAACAACCACGTGTTTGTGTTGTGTCGTTTTTTCTACTGATCTTACTCACAAAATTGCATCGTTTCACGGCAAATAGGCTTTCTAACTAAAAGAAGTTCTATGGAATTTTTTTTTGTTCCATCCCATTTCAGGTCCAATCTTGATTTTTATTCTACTCACCAAATACAAGTGTGTCAAGGTAGTTTTGGGAGGTTCAGCAGTGTAACAAAATCCTAAAAGGATTTGGGCTCTGGTGGCTTCCTTTCAGCGTTACGGTTGATTTCAGGAAATTCGAGCTTTTGGTACTTTTACTGTAACGCACTATTCCAATGGGCTAAACAGCTGAAACTCACAGCAACATTAGTCCTGAGCAAAGCTGTATACTGCAAAAGCCTCTGACATTAGCCTTCTATTTTTATGAGAAATCGAATTTTGTGTTTTTCATAGGTTATCCACACTGCCTTGCGAACTACAGATGAAAAAAATCTAATCGTATAATTCAATAGCGCAAACACTTCAAAGCAGTCCAATATAGACAATAAATGCTTGCGAAGGTCGAAAATTTTTGCAGCAGACGGACTGTGTTTAGGACTAATATTGCTGTGAGTTTCAGCTGTTTAACCCATTGGAATCGTTACAGTAAAAGTATTAAAAGGTCAGAGTTTAGCTAAATCAACCGTAACTCGAAAAGGAAGCTGCCAGAGCCCAAATCGTTTTAGGCTTTTGTTATACTGATGTCCCAACCGATCAGCAAAATATGATCTCAAACGGAGTTGCACACCTGGAGAGGTTCTCTCATGAGCTAAAGAAAATTTACGTTTCAAAATCTATGGACTCTGAAGATTTTAAAGACAAAACTTTTCCAGCTCAGCATCTCTCATACAGTTTGCGTGCTGGTGTTCGTGCTATAGTGGAGTGGAAAATAGAAGACAAGAGGATGGACAGTTTTGCAATCAGAAACACGTTGCTAGATTTATTCAAAAGTAAAGGGATGCAAGAAGCATTTCATTCAATATGCGGTTGCAATCTATATTCGTTGTTGTTTCTTATATAACTAAAGGCTACGCTGAGTTTTAGAGATTTTTGCTCAGTAAAAGATTATTGAACACGACCTCGAATTCATTTTTCACTATTCCTGTAGCAATTAATCACGTGCGCCACTTCACGGTCGTGGTAGATTATCTAAGAAAATATAGGAATAAAGGACCCAAGTATGACTAAGTACATCAGAATAGTATAAATATCTAAAAATTGAATTTCTCGCTGAAACATATTTCTTCGGCTTTTAGGAAATATGGCGTTTGACACAGATATTGAACCTGATTATTCTTTATTATATTTTCCCAATAAATCTTACTAATACTATCATGCAGGTGTCAAATTGTGCATCTACTTAGGGCAATTCAAAAGTAGTGTCGTCACTATCTTATTTCCTTATAATAAGCTCAAAGAAATTTTCTTTTTTTATGCAGTGATAGAGAAAAGAATGCTCTATTTTTCTATGCTATTTGATCATACTTCAACTAATATT